TCCGAACATAGTAATGGACCCTAATAATAATCAAATTCGAAAAGTTACAAAAACGTGATGCGCTATTGCGCATTCTGGAATCCGACAGTATTTTTAAAAAAGAGCCTCGACAGTATATTTATGGATCCTAATATCGATAAATATTTTTTTAAAATGATAATGATATGAATATGATTATTCACTGAATTTTGCCGCTGAATACATTTTTATTCAATGCATATTTTCTTAGAATAAATATTTACTCAGACATATGTTTATTGAATTATTTGTATTTTTTTTCCAACAAAAATACTGAATAATTCCTTGAGGAAATCAGAACAGCTAGTTATTCTAGGAATCGTGAATCACTAAAAATTTATTGAATAAATTATTCGAATAACAATTCATTCAATAACGCCCAACTGTGATACTTTATGCGTCCACACGTGACAATAACTGTGGTTACCGCTATAGGTACCATTAACTATCAAGCAAACCTAATAGTTCGAGAGCACTACCAAGGCAGCAAAAACCATACTTTCGCTCAGTTAACACAATGGAAGTGCGCTGCAGCTGTAGCGGTAACTCATTGTGGAAACAAGGCTCTTCGTAAGTTAATCAATACTGTGGTAAGTTAAGCAAGAAATTTCTAGATGGGGATTTAAGCTGAGAGAAGGACTTGGAATGAAGGAGGATACAGAAGCCAACGGGAGGTAAATGATAGGGAGTGAGCTCGGAGAACAGATGACGCCGGCGCGTGCCAACCGTTCCACCTGGCCCGTCGCCTATTCTAGGGGTTCATCATCTACTTTGTTATATTACATCTTTCTATAGTCATCTGTCTTAACATCCACTGCGGTCAATGGCAGTAAACAGGGGTGCCCAGGAGAGGATTTCATACAGCTTGCGCATAAAAATTTTTGAGGAGGGCACATTTCGGCAGGGTCATAAATTTTCGGAATGGAAAAATCCAAACTAAGGACAAAAAAACAAAAAACAGGGAGAATACTGAAACGCATGTAATTGTATATGGTCTACGATATTTTAAGTTTTATTTTCGTTTGCACTGTTATTAAGAAGAGGAGAGAAGTAAAATATCTTTGAAAGGGGAGGAAGATGGTTCTTGCGCCATCAACCTTGTGGGGTGGGGTTGGGCACCTCTGGCAGTAAATACATTAAATTACATTCATAATTTATATTTGAAATGGTTTACAAGAACACATTCTTGATATCCTCTTGCACAACAAGTTGGAATTTTAATATGTTTTAGTCGAATATTAGCACTTAAAAGAATTCGATAAAAATAAGATGGAAAAGTATTCACCATTTTATTGTTGGTAAATCGTACATGGTAAATCAAACTCAAATGTGCCTAATCAATTTACTAAAAATTATGTAGCGATTTAATGAGCGATCGGATGAATCGATTTTTATGTTTGATATCATAAATTGTTCACTGAGATCACCTGATTTTTTCAAAAGCGAAGCAACACGATTGTTATGTGTTTGGGTTTAAAATCAACCAGTCAAATCCCAACAGCAGCCATCCACGAATTTCAAAATTTTAAGATCATGACTCAATTCCCTATACAATAGAAATCTATGAGAATTCAATGCCGCTATTTTACACTGCTCCCAATGTTGCTGAGTGATTGCAGACCGTATTGTTGCCAACTGGTCTTTCCATAACGAAAAGCATTCCAAATACCTATCGAACCTGCAAGAGTATCTTTCCGCCACATTGCACCAAATTTTATTACGTTTAATCACTTCAATGGCGATAACTCTGGAGAGACGACTTTCAGGCAGGCACAGTAACTTAAGACAATACTTAAAATGCAACTGTAAAGTGAATGCCTCAAGTGGATTTGTGGCTGTTTCTAAATAAATCATATTATTTGGTGTCGATGAAGGCAATGAAAACAATTTCTTAATATAAAATATCTGAAACTTTTCCAATATATCATATCCCTGAAAACCCCAGACTTAGCATACTATGGAGCGTAATATATTTGTTTTTTGGCGGATAGTGGGATCAGATCTTTAGCAATGAAACTCGACCAATTCCTATTAAGGCCCATTCTATCAGCCGATGTACGATCTCTCAAATGGTAAGTAAATGAAAGACTGGTGCTTAGCGAGACACCCAAATATTTATAAGTATTGACTATTTCTATTGGTAAACCCTTAAATTGCCATTTGTCTGCAGCAGCCAGTCTTCGACCTTTCCTAAAAACCATAATATTTAATTTAGAAAGATTTACTGTCAAATTCCAATCATCACAATAGGCTGCCAGAAGGTGTGTATTTCTTAGCAGTGTAACCCTATCTTCAGCCAGCAGCACGTAGCAAAAGAAGACCATTAAACATTTTCCCAGATGCATTCAAACATGATACACCCCTATAATTATGAACATTATTAATGTCACCACGTTTAAAAAGAGGAAATAATGTAGATTTGCCAAAGGAAGACGGAGCTTCGCTAGTCTCATAAATTTGATTATAAAGAGAAAGATGTTTACCTAAAAATACTACGAGTGCATGTTTGTAAAACTCATATGATATTCTATCAATGCACGGCAGTTTCTGTCGTCTGGCCTCTATATATATTATGATAATTATTTTGAAAGGAAAATAAAGAAACTAACTAACTGTATGAAATTGTGTTTTATTGATTCTTGAGGTCCAATTAAATGTAATCAGACGAACAATAATACTTTTTGAATATTTTTTTTACAAAACATGGTTATATTTGGGGGAGGGACTTGAAGTAAACAAATTTAAAATCAATAATAAATAAGCGACATGGTTGAATAAAATGTATAAAAATAAAATCTATTTAGAGAAGTCGACTAGCTGGTTAGGCTAAGGGCTAGCAGTAGGTGATTATTTTATTGATATCTAAATGTTACTTTTATTTAAATTGTCTTTTATATTGATAAATAATAATATATATCAAAATATCATAGGATTGTATTATTCAATCACCCCTTAATTTTCACTTAATATTCTTATCACATATTCCGCGACGACCACAAAAACTTTTTTTCCTCTGATTATTGATACAGTCATTCACACAGTTGACTTTAAATGCCTTTCAAGCACAGAGTGTTGGAGATTTTTAACGAAACCAATACAGATATTACCTCATATTATAAGTAATTAAATTTATACAGTATTAATTATTATCTATCATAAATATTGCTTGTGTTGTGTGCTTGAAGTTGCGATAAAGTCGCTAACATTAACGCATCTAAGTTAAATTCACAAGATCGTATAAAAATTTCACCACTAATCTTTATTCATTTTCTTATTTAGTATTTATCAATCTATGAAGGACAAGATAGAAATTCTGCTTAAACTAGCTCCTTTCCGATTTTTTAAATTTTATGGACGACTTCTCTTTAAAATACAATTATCATCAAACTTCTTTTTTTACCTGATTCTACAGATACCATATTTATTTTTGGACGAAGAAGAAAATTATACATGTCACAATGAAGTAATAGAGGAAGAAACTATGGAGGAGAAGTTAGAATATTTTAAAAAGCGATTTATGAACATATGAACTGTCCCATAAATAAATTAATAAATTGATTAATTAATAAATAAATAAAAAATAATTAAAAAATAAATAAATAATAAATAAATCAATAAATTGAGATCTTTGTCATAAATTATCAATCTTAAATAGATTAAATTTTAAAAGGTAGATTCCTTAAAAAAAAAATTGATGGCTCCAATAAACTGATTAATTTTAAAAGTTATTCAGTTGATTAAATGGATGCACGGGACCAGCTCAGGCATTTTCAGGATGTGCCGAAAGAACAAAAAGGAAGAAGATTGTGGTATTAGGTATCATTTAATGTATTGAGGAGTTAGCATAAGCAAGTTATTTTATACTTCGAAAAACATTTTCCCAGAGTAGAAATACGATGGAATTTCTCATGACACGGAGAAATAGTTTACTAATGTTACTAATCTCATTTCGGTGGCCGTGATTTGGATCATATGTAAAAATGTCCATCTTTATCAACATTATTAATTATAATAGAAGATATTCATATAAAAAAGTTTATTTTTTATGTAATTTTTTGCGCCTCTCCTCCCCTCCAAAGTCATTTTCTGGATCCGCCCTTCATTGTAACTGAAATAACTGATGTTTTATATTATGGTATAGACCATTAATAATTTAATAATGCTTAGTAATTTGTTGTAAAAATTCGTTATAATAACTTTTGCCATAACTTTGAGTGTGTACCGGGACGCGAATCCTTAATTACTTTAACATCGGTAAATTGTTTTGTAAATTCTAATTTTTAACTTTTGGAACAGGAGGCGTGAGCTAAGTAGTCACAGAAAAATGACAAGCAAGCATTGCCCCCCGTCAATTTAACTTTAATATCCAATTTCGTTTTTTTTTTAGTTATATTTTTGACCCTGGATACCTAAACATCTCCACGCGTTCTAACATATTCCCTTCTATATCGATGTAATCCAAATTGCCACCGCATTTTTTAACTAACCATAACAGTAAGTGTACTACCACATTTCTAATTTTTATAGAATTAATAATACAATTAATATGAAAGTAAAATAAAAGGGTAAAATCATTTTTTTTTTTTTCGTTTGTTGATGCCTTGATGTTATTATAACTTTAGTTTTAAGCGGAAGTGTAAATTTGGTTAGGCATTTTCCAACGATGTCCAACTAATTGTAATAATTTACAAATTGAAACTTGAAACATTTATAGTTGGCCATTAATAAATGTCTGATTTACTCATTACTAGTCAAAAATAGTTTCTTTGGATAAAAAGAAAAATATCTTTATTACATTTATTACTGCAATTAATTCAGTGACTATTTCTTCATTATTTTTTTCTATCAATTATCTTTCTTTTCTTCTTCGTAAGCTTTACCTGAATGCAAAGACGGATCTATTCAATAATTTATCATACAACAAAATAAATAATAATCCTCTAAACTCGGTACATATAATAGGGCTAAATAAAAAGTTAGGCAGATAAATAAGGAATGAATATATTTGTAAAAATATTGTCATCGTACTTAATAGTGTAAAATGCTTTAAGCTCTGAACTGATCTACTTCAAAATTTCACATTCAAAGTAAATAATAACTACATTAAAGGCTGGTTTACACTTCTGTAATTGGACCATTGATTGGTAACTAGCACAAGATACATATGTGCATGAGAGGAGAAAACTCAATTGTGTTACCAATTTACTTTGTTTAATTACATAAATGTAAACATGAATTTATACAAGAATTCTTTTGAAAAGTTTTAACAAATCACTTTATATATATTTTTAAAATAAATTAATTATTGATTTGAAGTAAAAACATTATTGATATATAGAAAATAGAAGATATAATTATCACAATAACTAACTACCATCTTTGGTTGGCCTAGCTGAATGAAGTCTTTTTACTACTGACTCGATAAGGTGCAGTTAGAGAGGCAATGTGCACATTTACAGAGGCCTCTTATTAAACACTAAATACTTAAAATTCTATACAATGAATGGGAAGGTTAACCCTAACAGCCAACAGCTGTATGGAACATGGAGGTATCTTATACCTCATCAACATATTCCAGTCTGGTAATAATTTGACGAACCTGGACTAGAATCAGGTTATTCTTTGTTCCTTACATTTACAATAAACTATCTATTAATAATAATACATTTGTACATATAGATTTTATTATTATTTATAATAAGAATATATCCAAGGAAAGGCACTTTGGACGGAGTCGACGCAAAATTAATTTTGGCCCCTTTGTTTTGCCTCGTTGACTTGTACGATTTGGAAACATTTGGTTCATTATACACTACACAAAATATACACCACAAAACATCTTACAAACGCATAACAAAGAAATATGATACATGACTTCGTCGCTGGCTATAATACAGAAAAAAAAATTTATTAAAACTAGATTTCCTCATCCATAATAGTTTCGGTTTCGAAGTTAAGCGCACTCATGAAATGAGAACTTGGTTAAACTTATTAATTTTATAACTGAAAGGAAACATATACACGGTTTGATTTTTATACTTTAAAACAATGGTTAACGATCTCTTCAAACTAGTTTAAAACTAACTAAGCAAGATGAAAAATGTAATTGAGAATTTTCATGATTTAAAATCAATTAATACTTTAATTTTAGGTCAGAAAGTCGCATATAGAAAATTAATTCGTTCAGTACTGGAACACTAATATAGTATTTCGTATTTTTTTAAATCTTTATTTTTTATATGCCTACGTCTTCATACTTTAGAATGGTGAGTAAAATAATACTCAAAGATGCTCAAAGGAGAATTCTGGATATCATAAAATATCAAAACAATGGCAAAATGATGTGTTAATACTCATCAATAAACAGGAAAAATCTTTTTGTGATCCAAATATTCTCATAACGGCCGTTAAAAGGCGTTTATCGTATACCAATAAACTGTACTCGCCTCATGTATGCAGTGATACATTGGATTAAAATAAGATTATGATAATTCTTTGTTTACAGTTTATCGATTTAAAAAAATGACTAGAAATAACTCAGAGCGAGACTGTCAATTTTTTACGTTTATATGAAAAGAAGAAAGAAACTAATTTTGGCATGATCGAATTATTAATATACATTTTAAAAATTAATATAGTGAGAGAATCGGTAAATAAATGAACTGCGATCGTCGAGTACGAAGTCAGTTTCTGGCGAAATGATATAACCGGTTCACATTGTGTTATTTTTCTACAGACATCAACTTCGTTGAATAATTTTATCTACAATTAACGACTAGGGAAGGAAAAAAAACCTTTTCTGTATCCTTACATCTAAAAAATGGACTTTTAACATGTGTAACAAATCTACAATGGTAGTCTTGTTAACATTCTTGATTATCTTATTCCGGTCAGATATGGCCTTTACACACCCATCATAGGTATATCTACATTGTAAAGGTGGCGACCAAGGTAATTTATTTGTTCGAAATAGTCAATACAGATTTGAAAGGCGTAAAATGTGATCCAAGACGTTGAGGAGCAGGCTAGGGGAGCTCAGATGTTGTGTCTGCGGAGGGGTGCTGGCTCTCGCGGTGCCTTCGCAAGTCCACCTTCCGCTGGAAGGCTTTTTCGCAGAGGCCGCAGGCGAACGGCTTGTAGCCCGTGTGCTTGCGCATGTGCGTGATTAGGTTGGAGCTCTGCGAGAACGCCTTGCTACACACGATGCACTTGTGCGGCTTCTCACCTGCAAAAAAAAAAAAAAAAAATTGTCTATAAAATATATATGTACATATATAATTTTCATAAAAATCTATATTAAAAATGGCGGAATAAAACATTTTAAAGGTAAATTCGAAAATTCGGAGTTTGAAACAATCAGTTAGTTACTAAATCTCCAGATTAAATTTAAAAAATGAAGTTATACAAAATTGTAATGATTGTATTCGGATATCAATTTCATTGAGAGAGCCCAAGACACACATTATACATATTATGTATACGGTATATGGATGAGTCTCTGGGGATCTCGAGGTGAAACTAAAACGTTTGATAAATTGCTTTGTACGATTCATCTTCGGGATATCAAGGGATGCCTCTGTTTCCCATTTTTATGCAGCGTTGAAGTGGCTTTAACCTTCCTACCGTCGTAAATATTTCCTGGCATCCTTCCTTTTTGAAGTCATCCATCATCTCCGAACTCTTTCCATTCAAATCCTCTGTTCGTTCCCGCAATACTCGTTCCCGGTCTTCTGATTTATAAATAAGGGCCCACCGAACCGCTGCTTTCGACAGATCTTTCAATATCCGATCCTCATCCCTTTGGAACTCCATCCCCTCTCTCATTCGTCAATCCAATACCCTTCCTACCTTTAAATCCCGCCTGTTCAATCATTTCTTATCCATCCAGTCCCCATGAAATTGTAAATAGATACTAATGTAAATATGTATATAAATTATTAGTTCGTTCTTCATTATTTTTACTTCATCCTTTTTTTTTTTTTTTCAATTTCTTATTTTTTATTATTAACTGATTAAAATTAGAAAGTAACTTATAATTTTTCATTTTTTTACTATGACTGTTTAATTACTCTGTATTTTTATTTATGTATCTCTAAGGCTCCTTAGCCCATATTTATGTCTTTCTGTATTATTCTAAAGGGACTCCTCCCCGAATAAATAAAGTATTATTATCATCATGTATAATGAATTTATGTAAAGATTACTTTTTCCTTTATATAGTAATTGACGCCTAGTAATGGAACGATACAAATGACAAGACCCGCATCGAAAAGCAAGGACAGCATATCAAACAGATGGCCTTGTCTCCACCGGATAATTTATTGTACAAATTAACTTATTTTTGTCATCATACAGTTATATATTTCGACTAATCAAATCTGAAAAAAAAATCCCAAATTTATCTCATCAGGACGAATGAAAAAACATAATATAAGCTTATTGCACTGTTGTTATGAACAAGTTTTATATAACATTCCGCCACTGATGGTCCAAAAGGTCGTATGTAACGATTTTTCATGTTTATTCTATTTGTGTTAAAGGTGTCATTTTGTAGTCTGGACCTGCAATAAGTAGTCTGCTAGTATGAAAAATAGCAGAGGGGAATGAAATATGAAACTATGCTAAAATATCCTAAAGAAATAACCAGTTTTTCAGCTTATCTGTGAAAAAAATCAATTTTTATACACGACCTTTTGAAATAACAGTAGTGATCTGTAACATCAACAAATAACTTTTCTAATTCATGTTAATGTTTCGATTTTTTAGTTTGATGGCTCAATTTATTCGATGACATTCCATGAATGTTAAAAAACGATTTTAGCTTAAAACACTTAAGTTTATTATATAAAACGTTTTTAATCTTAAGCACTGTTAAAATGTATGTAAGGATTTTTTGAATGAATGGTTGACCGATTTTGATGTTCGATGGCTTAAATTGTTTATCGAAGTCAAGTGAATGTTTTGAAAAAATAAATTAGCTCATAATAGGTACTGAAAAATAGTTATTTTTTTGTTAGTTTCATAATATATCGCGACTATTTTTATGGCCATATGGGGTGAATATAAATTGTCAATAATTAAAAACTAAATATGTTAAAATAAATAATAATTCAATAAAAAAAAAAAACGACTATGAAAATAACCATATTCTACCTAATGGGAATGTAATTGTATATTAGTTCGTGACCTAGACCCCATTTTATCAAATTATTAACATTCCCCTGAAACCTCATCTCGTCGTAACCTACAACTATTTTATTTACGAAAAGTTTTGGAACTTTGGGCGTTTTCAATCTGAAGGTCGGAAAACATTGTCTATTTAATTAGGTACAAAAAAAAAAACTCGTTAATACACATTTTCTTTCCGCTTGCATCATAAGCGTAAATGATCACGAAATTGATATAAAAAGGCGGACAACAAAAATATTGGGCCGCTTGGCCTATATAACCTTGTTATTTTGACAATTTGGGGGTTTAGGTCACGCCAAACGGTTCAATATATTTGAAGGCCACCTTTGTTTCTCGATTTTGTGCTCAAATTATCTTTCGTTTCAAGTGGAAAGCAAATGGATATAGTTTTTAGTACCTAATTAAATAGACAAAGTTTGCCGATCGATTGAAAACGACCCAATTCCGAGAGTTTTCGTAAATAAAATAGTTGTAGGATACGATGAGATGGAGCTATTAACGGAGTTTCAGGCAGATGTTAATAATTTGATAAAATGGGATCTGTATCAGAGACTATATCTACTTAACATATATTTATGGATTGTTAGTTAAATTGACGCCTACGAATATTTAAACTCGGTGTAGTAGTCGGCTGCCTTCCAGTGCACATTCTGTCCCATCCGAAATCCAAAAGATTCTCAAGTTTCGTTCGACGGTGGAGGATCAATCAACCTCTATGATATGGTGTTTCCGGATATTATGTGAAAAAAAATTTTAATTTAGGAAAAAAAAAAAAAAGCCAGGTTATGGATTCTATAATCTAAGTTGTTCAAGGATAGCTTTGTGTTACCTATTAAACTGGAGGGATTTTTTTCTCACTGAGACAAGCTAATCACTTCATCAAGCAAATTGTTACTTTAACATGCATGGTAATTTATGAAGGTAATGTATGAAGCTTTAGTGATGGTGTATTTTGAATAGACTATCTTGATAATATTATATTTTATATACGAACAAACATGTTTTACTGAAGTTGCCTTTACTCTGAATGCATTTGGAAGGGTGATTACTATCTGATGTGTGTTCTAACTGGCGTATAGTAGTATAATTTCAACCAAGAGTTGTTGGCAGTTTTTAAAATTTAGAGTAGATTATGAAATATAGCGAGTTGCAATATTCAGCTAGAGGAATAAAGGGAAGGGTTGTCGGAGCCTTTTCTGAAGGTCGTTTATAAGAAATCAGGAAAGGGCTGAGGAGAAAGAAACTAATGAATTTTATAGGAGCCTAAATAGCTGGCCTATTGAGGAGAGACAGTATACAATTACTGGAACCCAGCGGCTATTAGAGCGATTTCCACTCCTTCTCCTTCGATCCCTTTAATATCTATTGTATAATTGCTAACAATTGTTTGGAGGAGTTCATGTAACAGCTCGAGGGGGAATCCTTGTGCGGAGAGGGGGGATAATTATTTCGGAAAGTAACGGAAAAAGTTCATTATTGATCTGTTGCGTTCACAGTTCATTATTCAGAATGTTAAAAAGTTGAGTCGATGGTCAATCAATTTCGGTTCGGATATCGTTGAATGAATATAAAACTAAAAAAAAAATTATGCCAAGTTTAGCATCCCCATCAATTCTATTCATTACATTATAAACTATATTTTAAGGTTTACAATTGTTTGGGAATAAAAATAGAGGGGAAAGACGGTATTGTCTTGTAAAGACAAAACATGCACCTTAGAAATTCTGTATCAATATAATATAAATATCAATTTTTCGAATCCAGAAAATTTTCATAAAATAAACAAAGCACATTAAGGGGAGTAGGTATTATACCGCCTGGATTTGACAATAGAAGTTTAAAGTTTGAATGTCAGCACTTCTTCCACTGTGCATGGTACTGAAATTATTTCGAGCAGTGTTTACCAAGTAAGGTTTGGAAGAACATACAGTAATAACTAGGACTCGGGATTTAAGGATTTACCCTTTTTTTCTGTTGAAGGAAAAGTAGAGTTTTCTACAGAACTATTCCAATTTTGAGTAGTAGATTTAAAATGCAAAATTCTATAGTAGAAGATCACTTTAGTAATTTTCTTACTAAACTTGATATTTTTAGCATTTTTTCCACCAAAACCAAACAATTTTGCACAAAATAAGATAGATTCTGGAGTCTTCATTCAGAGTTTGATTAAATTCAGTACATTCTCGCTAATTATTATGTATGATTCTACGCTAAACTAAATAAATATCTAATGATATCAATTTAGAAAAACAAAACAAAAAACGTCTGCCAAGTGAGACGCTTCCTCACCATTTTCATTAGTTCCACACTTACCTATATCTCAAGACACCATAAAATAAATTTGCGCGTGCGCGACTGGAAGTACCGAACAGAATTTAATAAAATCTATAGTATCATTATTTTACCAACATCCATCTTTCAAAAATGAGCCAAATCAGACGGGCTGTTTTATCTGTTTGGATGTAATCCCAGTGTTTTTATACCACAATTAGCTTTACATATATAAACATAAACTCAGTTTACTTTCTCTGTATGTGGACAAGTTCCTAAACTCAGTACTGAAGTCATCAATGGTTTAAATCCGTTCCTAAACTGGGTGAAAAAATGTGCTGCTAAGAAGAGGGTGGTAAGTGAAAGCCGTGTGATGCGTGCATCACATTTTTTTCATATGTTTAGTAACTTTCCAGGAGTTTCAACCTTTCGCTGGGACCCAACATGTTGGATAATGGAATTAGCGGAGTTTTTAGAATATAAACTTTTTTGATATTAAGTAATGCCAATTCTTAAAATTCTAATTTTTATAAATATGATGGTTTAATGTTCTTACTCATTTTAAGCACGTTCATTTATGTTTTTCATGTTTAACTATATTTAAACTCAACAAATACCATTGTAAAATATAGGGATTCAATGAGTGGTTTAAGATTTTTTAAGCTGTTTTTAGTTGTAAAAATTGATTTTTGTGATCTATTCCATAGAAAATGAAGAGTTACGAAGGAAGGTTTTTGAGGAGTATATGAAGACGGGAAGACATTTATCCCAATCAGTGGTGATACAGCCTTTGGTATAGAGGCATCAAAGATGGCCGCCAATTAAGACAAGTAGACTCTAATATGGGTATAATTGCTTAGCATTGACATCGTTCGGCTTTGTGATAAGACATCCCTCCCACAAATAATAATTACTATCGTGCTTTTTATACATAACATTATAATTAAATATTATATTATTATTTTTTTTGTAATTTTACATAAATTTTCGCATAAATATGTGCACAATGTTACTAAATATTAATATTGGTATTTTTACTTTTTAAAGCTTCAAAACTCTGCTTTGCTATTCAACTCTGCCTCTTTTATTTGTTTGATAGCAGGTGAACACTTTGAAATCCATCAATAAAAAATGTGACGCTTTCCTCATATATGATTTACCATATGCATCGTTCCTAGTGGAACGGAACGAGGAAACATTGCAGTAGAAAAACCTTTAGGAACGTTTAGGAGCCATTCTGACCTATGTGCCAAGCCCGATTGCACTCTGGTACTTTGTCTGTTGTTGGTCCCGCCTTAACAGCCCTCATTTCTCCTTATTAAATTATAAAATTGTTTTTTTATGTTATATATTACTATTTTTTATTATTAGCTAGAATATAAAATGGTTAATTATTTCAAATTTACAAAACAAGAGGTGGTTTAGAGAAAGACAATTTGGAAATTCGGCATTTAAGCCCTATTAATATTCTAATGCGGATAATACTGATATTAATGATCACTTTATTTTGCGTTGATGAAATGTGCTTTATGAAAATCGTTAGCGCTTTTTTGAAAGAAAAATGTGTAAATCGATGATGTATAATTTCCGGTTTGTTGATTTTTATAAAAAAGTTGACGTAACATTCCAAGACCTAATTGATATTAAAGACCATTTAATTATATATTAATGTAGGTGAAAGGTATATATTAAGAAGGTAAAAATAAATTATTGTTATTTGAAGGGTCAATGTCGGAATTCAGTTGTTAAAATCAAAATATTGTTTAATAACGAATCTATATTGTAACGATTTTATCGTGATATAGACGGAGACCGACGAAGTGAAATGTTAGAGGGAGATGACAAGATGTCATTAGACTAATTGATATAGACAAAGGGCGTGAGCCCTGTCAACAGAGGGCGCTAGGTGAGAGGTATCGATATTGGTGAAGGACAATCTGAAGACAATAGGAAGTGATATAATTAAAATCGATCCCCTGCGCCTCGCCAAGTGGGATGAATTCTTTATGAGCCCTCACTGTTTGATCAGAAGACAATATACCTTACCGCCTTCTATAGAACAGCTTTACCCTCAATCTTTAGGTTATTAGTTTTGTCTTTTTTTCACCAGCTTTCCTACTTTTCTATTTCAGATATTTGTATATTATATTATTGATTCTTCATCGACAGCATAACATTTCGGTCAGACTGATTACATATTGTATAGGTTTTAAGGATTCCTTCGTTTATGAAAATAACATTGATTATTGACTTTTGATCGGTTAAACTAAGAAAAATTGTACTTCAGTAAGCGAACTACAAAATTGTGATATTATTATATACAATAATTTCTTATTAAAGTAGTTTCAGAAAGTAAATTTGCCTCCATAAAGGAGTGGCATTAGAAACGATTGAATCAAAACTTATTCAAAGAAATTCTTGAAACCCTTATCGATATATATATTTCTATATAACCTTTCAGTTGACAGATTTACTAACTACAACTTCAACATTTTCGATTATTTGTTTCAGTGATTGTTTTATGAAAGTAATTTTGCACCCGAGAGCCGCCTTGTGGTGAGTTATAAAAACAGAATTGATAAGGATCTAGAAAAAAAGAAGAGTTAAGCCACTCAAGCTTATGAGCCTCTCTCAGCCCATTTTGAGGCCAAGACTGCATAGAGAGGACCATAGACCAGACTGGAGGGCTCCCTCACAGCTAAGTATGATATCTATGTCAGCATAAAAGGGTGAGTTTTACTTCAAATAATTCATATGACATACCACATTCAATAAAAATACAGTTTACTACCAAAATAATGTCGAATGTTGCCTTTTTTTTTATTGAAATGTTGCCTAAACAGTGATGTTTCGTGCGGGAAAATTTATACCTTTATTCACATATCTATATTTCAACATTCTAATCACCTACTCTGAAATCAATTTATTCACTGTCTTTACAGATATTATATGAGAGCTTTGTGCTACCTTGTTGAATATTAATAATTTAACTCTCCCCAATTACTGGGAGAACAATATTTTTATTTAGTGTATTAATACTTCTGATTAGACTACTACTTAGCCTATTGGCTCTAAGACTCACCGGTGTGTATGTAGGTGTGCTTCTTCATGTCGGACTTCTGGTGGAACCTCTTGCCGCAGTACTGGCAGGGGTACGGCCGCGTGTCCGAGTGGATGAGGAGGTGGGTCGAGAGGGTCGAGGAGCGCTTGAACGTCTTGCCGCACTGCTTGCACTGCAAAATAACGTCAAAGAGCAATATAATGACCAATAAATAAATAGATAATCAGTAAGTGAAATTGGAATTAATTCATATTGTCTGATTCGTAATTATGTCTGATTCCATGATTATGTCCTCATTAGCTAAACTAATATTTAAATTTTAGGCAGACTACTTCTTACATTCGTTTAAATACCTGAATATATAAACGCGACTTGAAATATTATTTGATTTTGACGCCGAATTGTATTTAAATTTAAAATAATAAAATTTGTGTATTTGGAGAAACCTATTATGTACTTGAAATATCAAAATAGTATATGTGTCTATTTAATTATAAATTAGATACATGGATTATTTTACGAATGATAGGGGGAATTTGGAATCCGTCAATATTTTTGTGATATATTTTAACACGACTAACACTCGATACTTATACAGGAGATTATACAGCATATGAAATTTATGCTTCCTATTATTTATTTTATAATGACTTCTGTAATTTCTATGATCTATTCTGACTTATCCAAAGCCTTACAAGGGGAGGTTACGGCCGTGAGATTATGGGAGGATTTTTTTAATGTTGTTTACTAAATGCGTAACTCCTTGGGATTTTCTTCTAATTCAACGTTGGACAACTGAGCTATTAGTCTTCCAAACCATATAAATAACGTCTAGGTTTTAGGCCATTATAAGGAATAAATAAAGGAAAATTCCTCGGACGTTTTTATTTTATATCTCTCGTTGTTATTTGTTTACCGGGGTCTGGTTTGCTCCATTTTATGTAGTTTAAAGGTCCCTAAATGATTCTGTTTAACAGGTGTAGTATTTACAATAAAGCTATAAACACTGATGAATATCAACGTAATAGAGCTGAGACTCTGAAAGGCCTTCAGGAAGAAAGTATACTTAGAGATAGTAGAGAAGAAAGGAAGTGTGGAGTCGATTATCAGAGGGCCAAGAGACAAGATCGATGTGGGAGCCACCTGAGGCGACCATCGATTCACTCCCATCCAATATTCACTGGCCGGGCTTCAACTGTTGCTCTCTATATTTCATCCCAAGTCCTACATTAATCAAAACATGGCGGACAGTCATCGCCGCTTCCCAGAAGTAAACACACACTTGGAGCAGATTCCATTAAAGTTCTAGAAGAGCCATTAGATAGGGGCAAAGTAGCCACCTCGTTTTCTTAATGACGGATATCATCTGGCCATAACTGCTATTCTTCCCTCTAATTATGCCCCTGTTTACCTCAAACGTGTTTTATTTTCTTAGGGGGCATTTTTGCGTAAATTATGCAATACATTCCTTAGGATACGGCGGATTTTTTATGAATCCTTGGATTGTAAGTAATGACATATCGATCTGAATTTTAGATTATAATTCAACAGTCTATTTACCGTCCAATCTTACATTGTATATACAAAATAATACCTCACTATTTATAACATGAAAATAAACATGATTTATGACATTATCTGATCAATTGAACATGATTATAAAAAAAATCTAGATTTTTTAATTACAACCGATTTTGAAGGGATAAAACATATTGAAGGTTGAAGGAGCTATGTATCGGCCTCGGAGGGTTAATGGTTTTACAGGCGGAACCTTAATGTAATTTCAAACCTTTTCACTAGCAGGATAACAATCTTTATTCTCTAATTAGAGTGAGTGTAAACAAATAAATAATAATAAAAGAACTTCATTAAATTGAATGATAGTAAGCAGGGGTGCCCAGAAGGGAATTTCATGACTTAATTTTTAAAAGCGACTCATTTCAACGATATTATGATTTTTCGTAATGGATAGTTTCAAACCAGAGAATAAGGAGAAAACATAAAACAGACCGCAGCAAGTGTAATTGTGTATGATCTATGATTGTTTAAATTCTATTTTCGCTAGCACTGTTTTTAAGAAGAGGAGAGCAATGAAATATCCTGAAAGATGAGGGAGAGGTACATGAGCTATCGACCTTAGGGAGGGGATAACCACCCCTTGATTGTAGGCTGCTCAGTAAGGTCGACATCAACTTCTGCGTTATTTAATTAGTTTGTTTTCGATGATTAATGAAAATCGGGGTGCTTTCTCTCCTCCCTGGGGAACAGCAGAGTAAAGTAAACGAACGGTAAAAAGTACAGTAATTCCCAGACAGGAGAGTATTGAACCATTTATGTTTCATTTTCTGCCAGAGATACACTAAGTAATTCAGTCAATATATATTACACACTGGCTAAAATTACATTTTATCTGTCTTGCTAATTCCATATGGTCCACAATAACACAATTCACAGAGTTTGCATAAAGTGTTGAAAAAGTACAAAAAATGTTAGTACATGCGTCAGACAAGTTCAGACTCAAGACATTATCTGATTTTTGGGGAATTGCTTTAATCTTATTATATACAAGTAATGGTAGTGGTAGATATAGAATAAAAATATGTATTAAAAGTTAGTAGGCTTACCAGAAAAGACCGTTCCTGAGGATGAGGGGTGAGACGTAGATGTGGAGAAGCACTAGAAGGTTGCTTGTCTTCACACAGTGTTCCCGGAGACCATATTTCCTGTTTTTTCTGCCTTATACAGAGGTTCAGGGGCATCTCCTCTTCATCAGCAGACAGATCTGCAATAATTATACCGTAATATCCTCCAGAGAAGAGATCGTGTTGAAAGATCATACATATTATGCATTATGAGAGTGTTACCTATTCTGGCTTTCTCAGGTGTGGCTCCTGAGTCAGATCCAGCACGATCAGGTGAAAGATCTTCTGGTTCTTGAGGAGTCGGGGAATAGGGCACGAACAATCCAGGAGGCCATAAATAAGGCAAGAGAGGTGTATAGCCTCTGTAATCTGAAATATCATACATTTACGAATCACATACAAATTATTGTAAACCGTAAGGCTTATAATGGAAGATTTAGCAACTAAATAACTATCGGAGTACAATGATGTTAAATTACCAGCTTTGAGAGGAGTGTGCTGGATGACGGTCTGGTAGTGGGTCGGTGGGATCCTCCAATAGTGAGGCGGCGAGTCCGGTGGGGTCATCCTTGCCCCACCGAGCATTCTGTCAAGGCAAAACCAAATTTATTTATATTAATTATGTATCATACAATAACCATTATATTAATTGTAATTATAGATAGTTAGAAAGAAAAACTTTATTCTTTGACTAGGTCTCTATAGAATAAGGAATTTGTGCAAATAATACAACAAAATATTTGGCTTAAAGGCTTAACATTTATACAAATAAATTAATATATACAACCATCAATAACAGTATATAAGCAGTATTAAAAAAATCTTTTCATAAGGAAATAAAATTGTAGTGATGAAATAAATACAACGATTCCTTTATTCCTCATTGTCAGTCATGTGGGTGATGAGAACAGTGATAATTTGAATTGGTAAGATCAAATCATTAGGATAAGTTGAAACTTGTGATTGGAAAATCTCGAACTCTGGGCTACCCCTGGAGTGAAAGTAAGGAAGAAAATCAGCCCATAAAATAAATATGGTAAACAGCGGAATAGAGTTATGTCGAAAAAAACAAAAAAAAAAAAAAAAAAATTCACCTAGATACCAAGAATGGTTTATATTGTCAAAAGTTTTAGATAGTTCTAGGATCACTAGTACAGTAAACTTTTTTTCGTCACTAACTATTTTGGTGAGAGCGGTTTGAACGGAGAAGCCAGGTTGAAACCAGATTTGAGAGAATCGCGTTCGAGGAAATCGGATGTTTGTGATCGAACTATTCTTTCTAATGGTTAGAGAACATGGAGATTGAGCAGTAATATTTAGAAGACGTCGGGTTGAAATATTTACTTGATAGAACGGACTAAGGCATTTTTATCAATAGATAAGAATTTTTCAGTAAAAATACAGAATTTTAGAGGAAAAATATATACAAGCCATACCAACTGTTTAATATTCATGAATTAATCAATTGATAAACTTTGGATGTTTTTTTCTTGAAATTGGTATATTGTATAGTTTACTTTTACCTGGCCGCATTTATTTATTATTTAGCAGTAATTTAGTAGTACTGTGCCCATGAAAATACTTTTGAATTTTATTGTTTCTGTAGTGTTTCCGGCAATGAACTATTCATAAATTAAGTTGTACTTATCATATTTTAAAGGCTGAAATCAAACACTAAGCCGCAGGGAGTCCTGTTTTAAGGACCAAATTTATCTTTATTAAACTAAATAATTACCATATAAGATGTTGATGAATAGCAAAAAAGTAGCAGAGGATAAGACATGAGACGGAGGGGAGCAGGTGGAGCGAACTATATCAGCTGTGCTCCACCTGCCTTCCTCTCTTCTGCCCTACTCTTCCTCCACCTTACCTTATCCCATTTGCATAATCCCACACATATTATTACTATTCTGTATTTTAGTAAAATTGTCTATTCTACCAACCATGAGTTAATCATATGAATCAAAGGGCAGCGACGTTTAATTTCCTCCAACAAATAAAACTTTGAACTAAATAATGATGAAATACAAAATACCTAGCACACACCAACAAAAAACAACAACTATGGTTTGCGCTTTACACCACACGGTAGAAGTAAAAAGATTAACATTTGGTTTTCGGCACTAATTTTTTCCTTCTTTCCTCTATAACACGGCTTCGCGTTAAGATACAATTTTGAATAATAATACATTACAAAGAAGATGAAATGATCAACATGATATGCAGAATATAAGAATATGCAGGTCCGATTTTTAGTTTTAAGATATTTTAGTCCATATGCAAATACACTTCAATTATTCGTCTCTAGCCGAATAATTTTGTACTCGAGCATTTATACTCTAACTTAACTCGAGCGTTACACATCGGAGATCTGGCTACTCAATCCAATTCACTCTCTACAAAAAAAGTGCAAAACGCGCCTAAAGAAGATTTCACTTAAAAAAAAAAAAAAATAGCTCGTGCAATTAAACTAATCACTGTAGTTGTATTGTCTGAACGGAGTACAGTAGTGTTCAAAACGGATGAACTAATACAAATTTTTTACACAGTACAGGCCCGAATATTAAAATCTTATTCAGAACAATAGTTTATCTATTTAATAGATCTTAATGATGTGACAATATTAACAAAGAAGTAAGACGATTATTCGAGGTTCCATTTCGGTACTGAAATGATACAAGTGAAAGGTAAAGAAGAAATGACCAACAGGAAGCGGAAGGTAAAAGCACTTAAAGATCGATGTTGATGTCGATTAAATGAGGGCTGAGTTGATCGTGATTTGTGCCGCACGAGACCGGCGTTATTTACAGGGCTACCACCTGTTCACTGCCATTATACCTTGTTCATCTGGCAACCCTGATAACAATCTCTTTGTCTACCTTTAATACCTCCCATATATGTGCATTTTGCCACAAAAAAAATTATTGTATTTTATGGCAAAATTATGGAATACTTTTAACTCTCTTTTTAATTTATACTAAATAAATTTCTAGCTATAAAAAAAATAATGCTAATAGGAATCGATTATTTAATATTTCTTGAAATCTTTAAGACTATAATTAGTCCAATGGATTCAGATCGCATTTACCGTCCTCAGGACCAAGAAAGGGTTTTTCTATCATTATTATTTTATGAGGAGTTGATCGGGGGAGGGAGGAGACGGGTGCGGTCAAATAAATACTAAATTAAATAAATAGTATTATTTAATTTTTGCCGACGTTTGGACCCACTTTGCAGATCTTAATCAGGGCTACAAAAGATACAAAACATGGTGAAAATAAAATAAATGAATATAAGTAGATATAAAATAAGAAGTAGTCTGATACAGAAATAAAAAGATGATATCAGAGATATAGTGGGTGACAATGTAGTTAAAATATAAAGTATTATATGTACATATTGATATTTTAACTACATTGTCACCCACTATATCTCTGATATCATCTTTTTATTTCTGCATCAGACAACTTCTTATTTTATATCTACTTATATTCATTTATTTTATTTTCACCATGTTTTGTATCTTTTGTAGCCCTGATGAAGACATGCATAGTGGGTCGAAACGTCGGCAAAATTAAATAATACTATTTATTTAATTTAGTATTTATTTGACCGCACCCCCGATTAACTGCTTCTCATATTATATCAATGGTCAACCATATCTACATCATTATTATTTTATGTTTAATATTATCAAATATAATAGACTATCTCCTCCTAAACTAAATAAACTTTTATAAAACTGATAGAATAATAAATATAGATATAAAATATAGAATGAGAAATAATAAAAGCTAATAGTTTTCATCGAAACATGAGCGATATGACAGAGTTTTGCACAAAACTCAACAATTGAGAATTCTTTAATAGTTAAGAACACAAAGGTGATTCCAAAATACTTTGAAGTAAAGTTATAATCAGTGCCGGATTACGCAATGTAGGCAACTGCTGGGCCACAGGGCCAAGGAAAAAATAGGCTGTGAAAAAAAGTAATTTTAGTATTTTAAAAAAATTTCAATTATATTTTTAAAGGATAATAATATTATCACTAAATTATATTATACTTATTTTTTCTCTGCAATAAAACGCAATCGCACTGGCAGGTACATCATCACACAATCCTTAAGCTACCTCTCTCAGCATTAGACTGCAATGGTTCTATATAATTTCAAAACGGATTTCAAATCACGCACTTATCATGATTTAGGTTGACAGCACTGATCATTTTTGCAAATCAAACTAAATCTTGGCTGGTAGCTCCTAGCTTTGCGTTTCCCATGGGCTTCCCCATGCCTTAATACGGCCCTGGTTATAAGAAATTCCTGATATAACATAAATTCGTAAATCAAACACGAAAAAAGAGTTTGCAGGACTTTAACTTATTATCTGGGTTTCAGTTACGTTTAGCCAAGAAAAAACAAAAGACACCCTTTCTATATAAATACATATACGAGTATTAACACCGTCCGTAACCCCCATCATCTGTTTATTTCCTATAATATAATGTAATTATTACATGTTTAGTTTGTTGAAATCTTTTTTGAGTAATTTTTTAAATCTCTCTCTTTGTCTTTCTCTCTATGCATATATATATATATATATATATATATATATATATATATATATATATATATATAAAACAGTAAAGCTTTCTGTAAAAATCATGTAAATAAAGAAATTATCGACAAAAAAAAACAATATGATATATTTTACAAAAAGTCTAAAGTCTCGTATACAGAAATTCTGATCTTAAATGTTGGATCTAAAATGAAATGAAATAAGTGCATTATATATATATATATATATATATATATATATATATATATATATATATATATATATATATATAAATATTTTCAAAGAAAGCTTTATTGTTCATAGAATTCTCATGTCTTAGTCCAGTGTTGGATATAGTAACTCACGGATATTGATTTGATATCTTAATGGAGCATTCTGATTTAAGTATGAAATGGAATTGAATGAAAACAATCATTTTCGAAGAGACATGTCCAGCCGAAATCGATACTGATGCTAATGAAAATATCGATTTGAGATGTCCATTATAGGCTGTGATTCTCACCCTATTGATTGCATTATAGATAGCCTCACCTTTTAACCCCGCCGTGCTTGCTTTGCATTAGCTTTTATCCCAAAATAATATTCTAACCTTTCTTTCATTAGTCACTTCACATAGGATAAAATATTTCGTTTCCGGTTTATGAAACAGAAATAAGCAAGCATTTAATCAATGGATACTTAATTTTAGTTTGGATTGTTAATCAATTTATCTCGTTAATAAGTTATAATGAAACATCGTTCATCTAAATACAAAAATTCCACTAGCTTTTTAATTTATTGAAACACCATGATATATAGATTCAATTTTCAATTACATTTACTTTAGTTGTATCATTTTTAATATTGTATAGTATAGTATCTAGAAAAATCGTTATATCTGGGTTGTCTACCGTTATTCAATTTTAAATAGTGTGATTTTTTACTTATTTGCAATACTGTAAAAAAATTGCTGCCAGAATTTCATGATCATCGTAAACCGATGAAACAGCAATGGCTATGTGATTTCTTCTA